TTAAAATGTATATGTTTTATAATGAAAGTGTTTTAAAATAATATTAATTATTTTATTTAACGTAAGTGTTTTAAAATAATTTTAATTTATACGAGCTCAAATTATGCATTTTTCAAATTGAATTAATAATTTTTTAAGCGACCAGCTGATTAAAATCAACAATCAATCAAATTTTACAAACTTAATTCATTCTTTTTTTTTGCATTTATATGAATTTTTTGTTCTTTTTTTTTTGGTTTTTAGTTAAACACGTTAGGGCTGTCATATTGGAATGCCTCCTCGAAGCAACTGTATGCTAATCAAATTTCCTGCATATTATCTTAAAATACATATCAAGAATTTAAACTCCTGCAATAAGCAGCACTCATTCTTATTGGAATGCTTATTGGAATTCTAGTCAGGCTCAGAGCAGAAATATTTTCAATCAGACTTTGCTTGGCCTTTTCGACAAGTGTAGCTACATCCACCCACCCACACACGCACACTCGCTCACACACACACAGAGCTGGTATCTGTGTAATTGGAACAAACTTTAAGAATATTTTAGTGTCATAAAAAATCGAGATTTAAGATAAGAAATTGCACGAAACAGCGATCAGAATAATTCAGAAAAAGAAATAAAAATCTCTCGTTTTTTTAACGTTATTTCCTTCTTGTTTTTATTTTTAATTTTTAATTATTTAGTATAGCTACGATTAGATTTGTTTTAATAATTTCAATTGGTTACAAAAAAGTACAAGCGTTACAGAGTCAGAAATTTTATTGTTTGCAAGTCGAGTTTAGCGTAGCTCTACTGTAGTTCATTTGGATGCCTTGGAAAGCCCACGTTAAATAGTATTTGTGACAATTGTATTTACAATTCTATTGCAGCGAAGCGACTCACCTCATCAAATTGCGGCTAAAAGCGTTTTGCGCAGTTCTAATTACACTAGTTGTTGTTGCTGTTGTTGTTATTGTCGTTGGTTGTTGTTATTTGAGTTGCTGTTGTTTGTTGTTGCTGATGATGAATAAACAAATTGTTACACTTGTTGAGGCGAGTGTAGTTCGATCTTCTTTTGAAATCGCTTTGCAAATGCACATCAAATTCTTAATTAGTCACACACACACAGATGAGAGACACCTGCACATACAGACACACACACACACACTCATACACATGCAGTCGTTGTTAAATGTTTGTTTTTTTTTTCTTTACCAAAAAATCGTTTGCACAATTTCAGCGAAAATTTATCACGATTTTGCTTTTTGCACTGCGCACAAAGTCGTTTGTTTTTTTTTTCTAATTTTTTTCTAATTTTATTTTATTTTTTCATCTTTTTCTATGTGTGTGGGTTGAGTGCAGTTGAATGGACGTGCCGATGGTCGTTGGCGATTGATCGCAAATATTCGAGAGAGTGCGAGAGAGATGCAATATTGATTTCCTAATTGCAATGCAAATGCAAGCGAGTTAGGGTTACCAGCTGTGCTGACCAGTTCGTATGTATATATATATCTACATATATGTATATATTAATCGTTGTCAATTTTGTATAACAAATCGCGCATCTTAAACGCGCGCGCTCACACACACACGCACACACACACGTTAAACCGAAAGAGAGCGAGCGAACGAGCGAGATTGGGTTCAGCCAGGTGAACGCCGTCACGTCTGAAAGTCGACTAAAGCTAAAAACTCGCACGATCCGCATTACAAGCTCAAAACTTTGCGTCGTGAGCGTCAAAGCTCAGCGTCTTGGAGCTTAATGAGCCGAGCTGGGGTAAGCAGCACAGAGCAACAGGTAGCCGGCATTTCTTTTACGCTCTCTCACTCTCCCTCTCTCTGCATTACTTGATCTTGCTCTCTGTGTCTCTTGCTCTCTTCGGCTTGATTTAAATGAAGGCAACTTGTGGCTGGCTGACTGGCTGGCTGGGCTGTTGATGTTGGCGATGTAAACAAGTGAAACCAGCTCGCCCAAAAACATTCTTTACTTAGTTCCAGCTTCAGTTTTAGTATCTTCGTTAGGTTTGTATCTTAGAAATAATATGGAAATTCTGTGCAGCAAAGCCTGACAGACACGATCAACACCAGCAGCTGCTGCCGTTTCTACTGCTGCGGATGCTGCGTAAGACAAACAAACAGTAACCTCTCCCGGACAGACAGCATTGACCAGCACCACACCTCAGCTCATTAATCACGATATTGGCTAGCTATAATCGCTGCACTTAGCGAAATGGCCCTTTCGTAAAACCTAATAAAAACTACAATTAAATTCAATTAAACGCAAACTAATTATATTAAATCTATTTCATTATAATTCTTATACCTTCATTCTTGAATTTAGAAATGAAATATAAATCTTTTAACAATTCCCAAAATAACTTTAAGTTCAAATCGTGAATTTCGAATATAATTAAGCTCTCGGCTGAATTTAGTTAAAATAATTAATAATCATTTACATATTTAAATTGGGATTATGATTATTAATATAGCTATACTCAGCGACAAAAAAAAATAAATAAATAAATAAATAAATAGCAAATATAATTAATGAGAAAACGTATTAACAAATAATGAAACGAGAAAGATTTTTTATAAATAAATTGGAATACGAATTAACACATATTCTAAAATGTAAATAAAAAACTTCGATTATGTATCTATCTTTAATTCAGATAAAGAAATGGGCTAAATTTAATTTTATAAAAAATTTTGTATATAAAATATAGTTAAATCACTTGATAACATATTAAGCGTATTCAATTGCTATTTGAGTACTTAGAATATTTTAAAGTTCCCTAAATATTTTCAGTATATAATTCTTCACTATAGACTAATATTGAAATAATAGCAATTTAGAACATTCAACTTGGAGCTTTAATGCAAAATTCAGCTATTTTTCTTTATATACCTAAAGTTTCATAATTTCTTTGAGTGTATTTGCGTAGCATCAGAACTCATCGCTGATCGCTTTACTAATTAATTCGTCTTGTAGATAAGTTAGTTATGAAAGAGCGCTAATCCCCGAGGCAACTGAAACTATTCTGGCAAGTGTCATAAACAAAGCAAATCATGTAGGCAGCCAGTTGAGCAGGTAGCTGAGCGCACAACAAGCACAACAACAACAACATTCGGAATAAAATAATTCACGCAAATATTTCCACACACACTTGAATATTTGAATATCTCAATAATTAATCAAAAATATGAAGAAATACGCAAAATATACAAATAAATCATCGATTGTCATCGTCGTCAACCGGTCAAGAAACTATAAAGCACCAATCTGTTGTCGTCCCACGTCCACTCCATACGAAATCCCCTCCTTCACGCTCTCTGCCTTATCTTCTTCTACCTCTGTCCCTCACACACGCACACACTCTTTGCAAGGAGCCCATTTAACTTTAATAAAGTTGTCAACGCACGAATGTGTCGTGTGAAGCATTCGCCATATCTCTTACACTTCAACAACGGCCAGGCTGACAGTGCCAAGTGGACTCTCTCCCTCGCACTCACTCAGGCATTCTCAGCATTCCTGGTCGAGTGTCTAACGGTTTAATTTCTTTCCCACACATACACACAGCTTAACCACAACTGTTCCGCAACAGTTGTGAATGGGATTTTATTTTCTCAAGCAAATCCCTTGAGCTTTTCCCATATTAATTGCAGCGTTAGGAAAGCTTTCGTTGGGGGAAGCCTGTTAAATGCCAAAGCGCAGCTTTTTTTGCACAAATTATGTTCAGTACAAAACTTTTTGTGTTCAGTACCTATTTTTGTTCTCGACTGTAAAGTACAAAGCGCGTTATGAATCAAGTTCGCGATAAAGTAAAAAGCAATTAATTACAAAATATTCTAAATATAATAACATTGTGATGCGTGTTACGCGAAAAGCAACAATGATTGAAATATAAATTGATTAATAACATTAGATTGTTCTTTCTGTTGATATGATTAATGTTAGTGTTAAGTGTTGTGCTCCCACTTGCTGCCTTATGTAAATGCCAGAGGGTCATCTTCTTACAAAGCCAAGCATTTAATAATAGCCCACGTGCATAAAATATATCTATATACATACATATTAAATATACAAACATACATGCGTACCTTAAATAGCAAGAAAAGCTTGAAGGAGAGTGAAAACGAAAGCTTTCTTCCCGTTACATGTCAACAGCTGATTTTAACTAAGGAACACACCAACACATACTCATGTATTAACACACGCACGCACTCTTTTCTTCATTGAGAAAAAAAAAAACAGAAGGTAATAATGGCATTAATACGCTGCTGCTTTGAACCACCAGAACTACCGGAATTTTTCGATAGCTTTGTACAGAAATGCACCGATCCGAGTTGTAAGTATAATATTTTATTCATATTTGATAACGCACATTATTATTAGCCACACAAAACAAAAACACAACTCTCGCGCCCAACTGCAATCAAATATTGTTTTGCTGAGGAGCAGCACTGTTAACAGCGCAGACAACTTCAAGTATAGAAGTGTGCTGCCAGATCGCTGGATATGAAACACTGTGGCAACTCATCGTAAAAGTAGTCAAAGAGAAAAACAAATATTCGAGCACACAAATTTACAACAGCGAAATACTTTTATCGCCGCGTTTATTATCTAACGCCGCGATAAAAACATAAAATAAACGACTGTTGAGCGAACATGCCTGGTAAGTGATTGGTCAGAATAGAAATAACAGTAGCGGTATTTGACCTCGAGACAAATAAATGAATGATTGAATGACGCCAGCGATCGATGACGAAATCCAAGGATTTTTGCCGAAGATGTGCAGGAAAAGAGAACACAACATAAAAACACACACACGCAGAGCAATACAACAATAACAGCAACATTCGCTCTTAGCACGCGACTCGTGTCGATTCTCTTTGTAAAAATGGCAACGATTATGGGTGATAAGATAAACGACTTGGTCTAAATGGCCACCGCACCCAGTCCACCTGGTAGCGAACAGCAGCAAGGTTCGCCTTTCAGGGTTGATTGTCTATTAGTCACCATTCGTCCATTGCCGAAGACACAACAGAGACACTGCGTCGCCTGCATCGCATGTTTACCTATCGCTGCATACACGTCTGCCTGCCTAATCCATCTAAGCAATGCGCCTTTCCTTGCGCTCTTCTAGGTTGTTGCGGCTGCTGCTCGGCGCTGCGGCCGCGCTACAAGCGTCTGGTTGACAACATCTTCCCCGTCAATCCAGAGGATGGTCTCGTCAAGTCCAACATGGAGAAGCTGACCTTCTACTCCCTCAGCTCGCCGGACAAACTGGATCGCATCGGCGAGTATTTGTATCAGAAGGCCACCAAAGACATCAATCGCAAACGCTACAAGTAAGATTATATAAATTATAAATAACATTTACTTATATGATACATTTTCTTCTAGACTAGCCGAGATCGCCATGGAGGCAATGGATCTGCTGCTGCAGGCCTGTCATGCTCAAACCACGCTCAATTTGTTTGTGGAATCGTTTTTGCGCATGGTGCAAAAGCTGCTCGAGGACTCGAATCCGAATTTAAAAATAATGGCAACTAATTCGGTAGGAAATGCTCCATAAAATTCCATTAATGAGAGCTTGATTGTTATATACTAATTCTGAATCTTTCTTTCAGTTTGTTAAGTTTGCTAATATAAACGAGGACACGCCCTCGTATCATCGACGCTACGACTTCTTTATCTCAAAGTTTTCTTCCATGTGTCACAGCGACAGCCACGATTTGCGCGACAGCCTCCGTCTGGCTGGCATCAAAGGATTACAGGGTGTTATACGCAAAACCGTGTCGGACGATCTGGTCGAGAATATCTGGGAGGCCCAGCACATGGAGAAGATTGTGCCCTCGCTGCTGTTCAATATGCAGGTGTGTTCCCTCAACCCAAACGAAGTTCAATCAATATTATTGAATGCATACGTACATATTTATGAAATTGGCAAATCTCGAGCCTCACAACTAATTTCTGTTGTTTTTCGTTGTTTTCGTATATATTCTGTCATTATGCCAACGAAACTAATCCAACACTAAACACACAACAATCACACATAACTGAAACACAACAATAGTTCTGTGTGAACGTTATGTTTGTGAAGAAAAATTTACTGGCGGTAATTTGAATTGCTTTCAAGTATAACTAATCAAACTCTCCATAAGTGTATGTCTCTATCCCTAAACCTTGTAAATGTATATAACGAAAGTTGCCTCAACTAAAGTATGGAAACTTCGTCTGCTAAGAGATAGACGAACAGTCTCTAAAGTTCAGACAAGGCAACGTTTAGTTCGTAGAGTTTTCACTGTATATAATATATAGATATACTTTATGTGTTTAGCATAAATCCCAATGTCCGCACTTACCCTACCCCCCGCTTCATAGTGGTCCAAGATCTGCTTACCAATAACTTCTCTTATTCGTCTAGTCGGGCGACCTGACACCTGTTGAGGATGCCACCAATGTGACGCCCCCTGTGCTGGCGGAAGAAGTGCTGCGCGAGCTGGTCGGACGCGCCTCCTTTGGACACATACGTAGCGTGCTAAAGCCGCTGTTGACGTAAGCAAACAAACATATGCCATATTATCAATTATTAATCCTAGTTCATTACGTCATCATGCAGACACTTGGATCGACATGAGCTGTGGGTGCCCAACACCTTTGCCATACACACATTCCGCATTGTTATGATTTCTATACAACCACAATATTCGTACACCGTGGTGGAGACCTTGATGCAGCACTTGGATAACAATTTCAAGTCATCGCCCAAGACACGCACCTCCCTGGCGGTGGTGCTATCGAAGATTATTGCCATTGCGGCGGGCGAGAGCGTGGGACCCTCTGCCCTCGATATTATTAATAATCTGTTGACCCACTTGCGTACGAGCGTTAGCACAACCACCGAAATAACACCAGAGGAATCGCAGTACCAGGAGGCGCTGATCAATGCGCTGGGCGAGTTTGCCAACCATCATCCGGACTACCAGAAGATCGAGATCATGCTGTTCATCATGAACACGGTGCCCGATCTGTCCAAGAAGAGCAAAAGCGATCAAATGCTGCAGAATATATTGCTCAAGTCCCTGCTGAAAGTGGGCAACCAGTATAGCACAGTATCCTTCGAGAAGGCCTTTCCCGCCTCGTTCCTGCAGCCGCTGCTGCGAATGGCGCGCGCTCCACATGATCCAACGCGCATAATTGTGATGCAGATCTTCCAGGCGCTGCTCGATCGCCATCAAAACGAGAAGGTGCTGAGCACCGTAAGCGTCAAGCCGTATCCTGCCCTATCCCAGGAGCCGCCCTCACGCTCCGACATCATATTCACGCACAAATACGGCGCGAATATTATGCAGGCGCTGATCGACAGCATGGCGCTATCGGATCGCGTGGATGCCCTGACCTCCAGCTATAATACAGCTGCGCTCCTCATTGTGGAGATGTCGTGCAGCGAAACAGTGCAGGAGTTCCTGCTGTTCATATTGGGGTAAGGGCGAGTCCGCTTCCAATTTCGATTGCAATTCTAATAAATCTCTCTCTCTCTCTCATTTAGAATTCAACAAGTGGCTTCCACTGTGGAGACTTTGGGCGCAGTGCATCGTTGCAATTTGCACTCGATTGCCATTGCGCTGCTGGTGCTCATCTCGCGCGTCAGCGGCATCAACAATTTGCTGGAGTATGCACAAAAGATTATTGAGGCGCGACGCGAGGAGGCCATCTACTATCTGCCGCCGCTGTTGGAGCCCAAGAAGGTGGTCACCAAGAACCTGAACTTGGCGCTGCCTCACCTCTCCATTGATAAATTAGCCCTGGGCGAATGCTTGCAGAATGCTGGCATGGATGCACAGCGTCTCAATACTGGTGCGCCGTACACACTCAACCAGACGGATAACCCGGGACATCGTCACTCCTGGGTGGAATCGGTTAGCAACCACATGACGCAGCGGAATAGCTCTGCCGACTTAACGCTCTACAACGGCGATGTGGATAGCGTCAATAGCTCGCCAGGAGTCTGCAAGAAAGCCCTATCGCCCGAATACAACTTTGATGCGATGAAGCGCGCCTTAGCCGAGCCCACGGAGGCGGCGAAGCGAGAGCAACGCGAGCGACAAATGCAGATTGTGCGCACCTTCCGTGAAGGCGAATTCGACGAATTGATACGACGCACCGAGCCGAAGGTAAATTCTCCGGCGCCCACTAAATATTTTCTCTAATATCGTGCTCTTTATAATTCCAGCACGATCTGATTCAAAATCGCCTAAACGAGCTCTTCAACTCGCTGGCCGTGGAGCGCCAGATAACGCAAAGCGATAGCAAAACAGCTCAATTGCAGACAACCAATGAGAAGCCCGTCTATGAGACGAAATTCCCAGAGCTCTTCTACTACTAAAACACAAATTATATAAAATATATATATATATACATTGATATATATATGTATATGTATAGAGAATATTTGATGTAACCTGGTCATGGAACATGGAACATGGATACGGAGTATGGTATGGTATGGTATTTATAGCACATAATAGCGAAATTGTTTGTTTGTATGTATATTACACGGGCAGGGATCTAGATAGTTATTGTTTGACCGGGTCAATTTTAAATTAAAGTTCTGTTATTACAATACGCTAATAGTATTTGTTACAAATAAATATATAATATATATAACAAAAAAAACCCCAAAAAAAAAAAAAAAAAAAAAAAGATTGATCGATCAATCGATCAGATTGCTGTAATTCCCTTGCTTTGCATATCGCCAGGCATGTTTGATAATAATAGAAAAACTGATTGTTGCTTTAAAAAGTTCACATATTTAATAATAATTTAGTGGGGGTTAATTAAAATGCATTGGACTTAAGTAAGACGTTAATTAGTTTAAATGACGTTTGCAATTGTGATTCGAATACGCATTGAGTTCGATAGCCGCATTGTTAGCTTAACTTTTAGAATCGTAAATACTATATATATATATCTCATATATATATATATATTGGTTTTGAAACACCTTTGTGCCGAGCGCACAAAATATTGTGCTGATATAAACTTAACTGGTTCTGGATACAAAATAGTAATGCATTAATTGCTAGGATGTAATATGTAAACGATTTTACAAAAATATATATATATATATATACTTAGAGACGGACGCATTGGGGCACGACGCGCTCTAGAGGAAATGTACAATTGTATGGCGTACAGTTAGTAGAAGGTTGAACTATATATAGCTATAAGTATATATACAGCGGACGCTAGTTGTAGCCAACGGAGAACGAATGTACAACTATGTATGTGTGTGTATATGTAGATTAAACGAGACTCGAGTGGCGAGTCCTTGAACAGAACGAGGTGGTATGTGCTTAAAAGGGGACGTAATACGATGCATGCTTAGGTGGTTTGTGGAGGCGTGGTTTGTGGGGCTAGTGCAACGCGCTCAGCACGCCACGTCGCGACAGAGCGCCTCGCCATCGCTGGTCAAGGCGGCACTGCTGCGGGGCCAGCTAAAGCGTCCAGCTGGTCGCAGTCCGAGCGACGGCGACGATGGCGTCGAGTCGCCGCTCACACAGACAGCCGAATCATCAGCACTGGCTGGAGTCAGAGGGCGCTCAGAACTGGCGCCAATCTCCGAAATGGGTATCGTAGTGGTCGAGAGCGTCGTCTCCTCGCTGTGGGGCACAACCTCCTTGAAGCTCTGATTGGGTGGCATCACGACCAGCATGTTGATGGAGATAAGCAGCGGGTGCACCAGCTTGGGGTCAAGCACCATCAGCGACACCTCCTCGTTCTTCTCCAGGCTCAGCGTGGTGATCTCAGACGTTTGGGTAAACACCGCCTGGCGCTGTGCATTGATTGATGTCACCACAGTGCGAATCATAAACTTTCGTATCGTCTGCAAGCTGAGCACCCGCTCGTGCTCGTGCCGATGGTGGCGTCGGATGAGCAGGCTCCGCGAGTCCATGATGAGTATGAGATCCAGTCCATAGTTAAAGCCCGTCCAGCGCCACTTTTGATAGCCGGGCTCCATTAGCAAACGGCCGCAGCGCATGCAATTCTCATAGAACTCCTCCTTGTCCAGCTGCTGCGGACTTCTGCTTAAATAGGAATCAATATTAACTCTGATTCATGAAATTTCCAGTTAAACACTTACGCATCCTCTTGGCCGTGATCGATGCGCAGCAGCGCATCCCAGTGGCTGTGTATGTGCTTGTAGAGCCATTCCTTGGGAATGATATTGTCGTTGAATATGATCTTCAAGTCCATGTAGTGATTGGTCAGGTACTGGGTGCGCAGCTTCTGGAAGACGGGCACATATGGCTGGCCCTCGGGCGTGGCCAGAAACGAACGCTCCTCCATGCGGCCGGCGAAGTATGCCCACTGCACCACATCCACGCTGGGCGTATGCGTCTCAACGCCCGCATTCACCAGCCTCTCCTGGGTCCGTTGCGCTTCGGCCCGTTGCACCGGATCATCGGGATCGTAGTTGGGATGCAGCTGCAGGAACATCCAGGTGCGCAGCAGCGTATATAGCGAGAATTCCGTTTGCATCACATACAAATCGTGGCTAGCCGTGAGCAGAGTCATCAACTCAATGGAGATGTGCCGCAACTGATTGGGATGCTTATTGTAAATGCTAAGTAAGTTGATCTGGAACCACTGGAACGTGGACTTCTTGACGCTCAGCACGCCGTACTGGCAGGCCGCCTCGTAGTATTGCACCGCAGTCTCTGCATCAATGCTATCCACCATCACCTCGGCGCACTTGTCAATGATGCCGTCCAAGTGGAAGAGTGTCGCAGTTGCCAGCACGGGTATCACATCTTTGGGCTCAATCGCAATTTCATCCGAGTACATTGAGCCAAACACAGCATCCAGACTATCCACATTGATCCGATCGTCGAGTATTTTAATATTCACAAAATTCTGCTGCGCCTCCTTCCACGATCCATTGAACATGCTATAGAAGTACGGGCTCTGGCTAAGATAGACCTTGTGCAGATGCCAGACTTTGTCCAGTGCCATCACGGCCACATCCGAGTTCTTCTGCTCCTTGAACAGCGCCTTGTATATATACTGTGTGGTTGTCAATAGTTTTTTTCTGCAAATCAAAACGATTTTGTGTTTTAGTAAACAGTTAAGATCGATCATCATTTTCCCACTCACTTTTTTGGCGATTTGGCCTCCTGCTCGGCGCGTTCGCGATCCTGCTGCGATACCGTCGATTCTGTGCTACGCCTTCGCTTACGCCGTCCACTCAACACCTCCACCACATTGCTCTGCATGGATCCGACGATCTGACCCATGTTTCTGAATCTGGCTCCAAATTGGAGTACTCACGCCTAAAATGATGGCAAATATCAGATATTTGTGAAGCGCTCAGTTCCGATTACCATCTTAGTCCAAAGAGTTACAAAATAAAAATAAATTTTAAAAACAAAACTAAAACTTAAATATTGTTTTTTTTTTTTTAACCAATTTTAAATTTTAACTTCTTAAGGAACCACGAAATCAGACTATCGCTCTATCTGTAGAGTCTTTTCTTGTCTTCTAAGCTAACTCCACTACCTACAGTAAAAAATATAATATAATACTGATTAGAATGGCGTACGTATTTCGATAGTATTGAAATATACATATGTATGCATAAAGCACGCTCTCATCTTTATTTCAAGTTACATTTAAACATAGATGTTTTTGGGTTATTTAAACAGGTTGCGTACGCCTTTATTGTTTATGTACACAAAGTTGACCCAGTTTTCGGGTCCGCCCACTGCGGATCCCTTTAATAGGTCAAAAGTAGTGGGTGACCCATTGATTAGGTATGAAATTTCTTAAACTTTTTGAGTGCAGTTTGTGTATTTAATCTATCACCTCGCTCTCTCCTCGTCTTTGACGACCAGCAGATGATGTCACCCATGTGTAGCCTGCCTTCAAGAAGGTGGCCCGTTTATTAATAGAATATTATCTTCTATAGAGTCGAACTCTTTAAATACATACAAATTCACATGCAAACGCATTTGTTTATGTTTTATTCTCCCTTCTGCTGTTTAGCCTATTAACATGTTTGCTGCTGGATGTTGTAAGCGTGTCAAGGCCGTTGCCATAATAATGCTTATAAAAAAAAAAAGAGCTTTGATTTTTTCGCTTTATTTACAACATGTTTCTATGGGCTTGTATACTCCATATCGGAAATTACGCACTCATCCATCCATATGCCAGTCAAATGCTCGCGAGTCGCGAGTATTTGTTGTCATGCACCACACACATACTTCTATAAATAAGCACACACACTTGCACACATCTAGCTACCAAGTTTGTTTTGGTGCGACGCAGTTAAAGCTCTCAAAACCAGTTTGAGCACACTTTTCTTATAAGACCAAAACAAGAAATTCGATTGCAACGCCTGAAAATTACGTCACTAAACACACAGAGCGCAACAGCGTGGAAGCGACTTAGAGATGCAAGGAGAGAGCAAATGTGAATGAGAGACAAGCAAAGAGAGAGGACGCTAGCGCTGTTGTTATTTAAAACACTATGATATCAGAGATAGAGCTGGCTGCATTCGTTCCATTCAATGGATTATATGCAACTCAGCGAAAAATATATACCAAATAAAAACGAAGAATAAATACTCTTGCAGACTTAAAAAAAAAATTAATGTTGCCCGATGAGTTACGGCCAAATAACGTGAGTTATCGTCAAAGAAGCCAACAAGATCGGGCGGACCGGAACGGGATTCGAACTCGCGCTGCTTAGCAGCACTCTTCAAAGCAGAATCAAAACGTTTAGACGGCTGCGCCATCCTCAACATTAGACAGACAACAGCAAATTGTCTATGAAACTAATTTTTATGTATTTTGGGTAAACAAATAAATATGAGCACATATTTATTTACATACACACGCTGTATATGGTTTGATAAATAGTTTCGTTTTTTATGTTATACATACAAATATATATGTATGTGTATGTAGAGTGTAGAGGTTCAGCGAACTTGCCCGATATGCCCAGCTGTTCGGCTATGGATCGGCCAGACGAATCTGATTGGGGCTGTGGCGGGCGTGCAGTCTACCTAAAATTTACTGTCGTGCGGCACTGATAGCACGATGGTTTATATAGCCATATACATGAGTGTTTATAAATATACATATGCATATATTATATACATACACAAACATATACAGTCTTTAAGACTTTTCGAAATAGATGCGAGTAGGAAATATATCACGCTCTCATCCCTCTGCCAATCAATGCGATCTCTCCCACTCACTCTCTCTTTCACTCTTCATACTGCGTTCATACACACATGTTATCTGTGGCGATGCTGTTATTACCAATGTAACAGTAAATCGCCACTATAAATAGCTAAGAAAAGTAAATTTTGGGAACATGTGGGGGAGAATTGCAGAATACGAAAGCAACGACGCAGTAATATGTTGTTTGTGTTAGTGAGTGCGTGGTGGTGAGAGCGAGTTTGGTCACTCTCTCTCTCTCGCGCACCAAACAAAACAACAGCGATAGAGGCAAAATGCAACTGAAAACACACACAAAAACAATCATACATGCATACACAAATAACTGGTGAGCTGATAAAAATGCGAAAAGGGAATGCAATACTGCACTTACTGTAAATGTGGAGTTACAGTTTTGCTTTGTTTTAATTTATGTAACTAGATTATCACTTCACTTTATGTACATTTACCACCACAATAGTTCATACAGTCTTTAAATCATTTGTTTATGATATAAATATTTTAATATTTCTATTTAACTTTCAATTTTCTTTTGTTAACACAACAGCTTTGTGCACTCCTCCGCGCACCAACCGTTCCCTTTCATGAATCTCAAGCGACTCTCAATCATTCGCGTTTCGCTAGATGAGAAATAAACAACAATAACAAAACTGTGGTCGAACTGTTATTATTTACAGTTCTGTTATTGTTAACAGCACAACATTAAACAGCTGCTCGCAATTCAGGCTAGCTCTTACAATTTTGCGATGCTCAATTTGTATTTCTTAATTATTTTAAGCAAACAAGTTGTTGATTACTTCAATTGGCCGCCCGCTAAAACATTAACATAAACCTAAAACCTTTGAACAGCGATAATCTGCTACCTATCTTAAAACTCAGTTGGTTTCTGATGGTCTATAATAGTTAATTTGTTTAGGGCTTTTAAGGAATTATTAGAAAAAATTTGGAGCTATTATAATGAGCATTTAAACTTGCCCATCGAATTTCAGTTTATTTAAAAATTAAATTTGTTTTAAATTTTGCAATGCTAAGCTGTTAAATTCAAAATCGTTAATACTTTCGATTAATGTGTTATCGCCAATGGCGTCCATCACTAGCAGTTTTGCCATTCACTGCGTTTACATTTGAAAATTAGATTTAAAGAATTGAAAAAAGAAATTAATATCAACATCAACATTATGAAAGTGACTCCAAAGAAACCACGCGCCACAGCTATAGAGGGCACACTGCGCTCGCGTGAATCCCGCAAAGAAGCTGCAAAGGACGAGTCCGAAGCACCACTCCCGTTGCTGCAAATCGACGACGACATGGAATCCGAACTGCCCATACGAGGACGCCCCTCCAAGAAGCTGCAACTGCAAAAGCAACTACAACGTGCTCAATCCAATGCAAAACAGCAAGCCGAAGTGAAGAGTGATTCCGCAGCAGAAGCCGAAGCTGAAGCACCAACAACATCTGCTAATGCAACTGGGTCAGGAAGATCCAAAGCCAAACGGTCGCTTTACAAAAAAAGCGGGAACAATGCAGCCCAAAAATCACACAGTGAAAGCTATGTAATGCGCCTCTTCGAACGCAGCCTCGATCTGTCCAAGTACAAAGAGAAAACACCGCTCTATCCCATTTGCCGCGCCTGGATGGCCAACCAGCCACGCAATCCCAACGTGGCGGTCTACAACACAGACGGCACAGTGCCCATAGTTAAGCGTGAGGACGATGCCGAGGAGGTGCTCAGCAAATTGCTGAGCGGCGAATTGAAAGTTTTAAAGCAAATGCCACAGGCGCGCAAAACCGAGATGTCGCCCATTCCACCCCGACTGCCCAACCCCCAGGACGAGAAGCTGAAGGGCGCCAGCAAAGAGGAGCTGCTGGCCGAGAATATCGGCCATTGGAAGCGGGTGCGCAGTCACTGGCTGAAGCATGCGCAGAAATATGAACGAGAACGCTACGAAATAATTGACCAGATAATGGATGCTGTGTGCAAGCGAGAATGAAAATGCAATTTTAATATAATTTCACTTGAATAAATCTTTATTTGTAATTGCGTTTGCCTTTTTCAATGATCTGTGTGTGCTTGGTAATTAAGTCTAATTTAATCTTTCATTCACTTCTTTTTCGTTTTCGATATAATTAAAATGCTGTTGGATTGTTCTTGTTTGGTTCTGTTGCCACTGCCGGAGCGCGCGCCAGGTTCTTGTTGTTGTTGAAGATGTGTACGAGTGCAAGTGTGTATGTGTGTATAACAGTGCTTACACATGCAAAAACACACACACACACAGGCAGGGTCTTCGGCTGTTTGCTGCATTCGAACACTTATTCGACCTTGAGCAATTCAACGTCGAAAGTCAAGGTAGAATTGGGAGGAATGACACCTGGATGGCCACGGCTGCCATAGGCGTAGTCAGGTGAGCAGATCAACTTGGCCCGCTGGCCAACGCTCAGCTGAGCAACGCCCTCATCCCAGCCGCGAATAACCTCACCCTTGCCAATGGTGAACTTGAAAGGCTTGTTGCGGTCCCGAGATGAATCGAACTGTAATTTGTAAATATAGAAAATAAAATTATCCACACCAAATATATTTCAATTAATTATCACTATATCCATACCTTGGTGCCATCATCCAATGTGCCAGTGTAATGCACTGAAACTTTCTGGCCGTTCTTTGGGAAGGTGCTACCTGCAATACGAAGGCGTGAGAGGGAGAGAGTGAGAGAGTGTGTGAGATACATATGTATATGTATGTATGCATATAGTGTATAGAAATGTGTATGTGTATAGCGAACGGAAAAATACTTCTCTAACAAAATGCCGCAAATGTAAGGTTAATGCCATAATAATAACTAATATTAAAAAGTACTCCTCTTTTACTTACCATCGCCGGGGGAAATTGGAACAACTTGTACGCCCATTTTTACGTTTTTTTTTTATATTTAAAATCGGCCTGCTGGAAAAAAGTAGCACGTTTTGCTCGTCGCGTCGAACAGAAAAACCAAAGATGGCACCAAATATAAAAAATGTCGATTAGCTTGACAAGCACCAACTACAATTCCAGAATCTTATCGATAATTTATATCGTTATTGATATTCATACTCACTAAAAATAAAAAGGCGCCAGAGTTTGTTTTTCAAATTTGTATTTTACTTTATTTTATATTTCTACTTAAACTTAATTCCACTTTCATCTATAACAATTTCTTCGTCATTCAGTATTCGCTTGCCATTTGCTAGGCACTTCAATTGTAATTTGTGATCTATATTTATCGCTTTGCATGGAGCATAAGAGTTTTTTAAGAAACTGCTGTCCACTGTGTAAATGCAACAAACGTAAAATCTCTTGCAAATCTTGTTGATTTCCTCCAAAATATTCATATAGTATTTGTATTTACGAATTCGCACATTTTGTGGCAAATCAAGCCAATAAAATTCACACAATCCATCAATTGCAACGAGACTAATTCTTTCATTATCAAACAATATATGATTGTCCAAAGCTTTTAAGGCCATGCGAACATTTTGAGATGAAAAGCAATTTATAATTTCCAATGAATCTAAGCACTTTTCACAAATCTCCTGCAATTGGACGCCTGTTGCATTCGGATTCGCATTTTTCACAGCGTCCTGCACAAGTTTTCCAAACACTTGATAGTCAATCTTATGGCTAATATTAATTAGGATAACATCACAATTTATTAGACAATTTGCAATAATTTGCATTAGTAGAAAAGTTTTCCCGCTTTTCCTTTTGCCAGATATTTCGACAAGTGATTTGGGTGCGGGTCCGCCTTTCGTAAATATGTTCGTGTTCAATTCGGTAATGCGTGGACGAGCCTCGCCCAACTGACGTAAATAAACATTAGCCGCCGAAGAAATATCCATTTAGAAGCGCATTTAAATTGTATTTATTAAGATTGTTTACACTTGCATTACCCTGCGCATTGAACAGGGCTGTTATGCAACTATCGTATATAATTCGTGTGCAGTGTTGGGAAATTTGAAAAGTCAACGCCGATAAGACAATTGAGTAAGAAATAAAAAATAAAATATGGTTGCAGCTCTGGCTGAAATTACAAAATATTTTTAAAGCCAAAAAAAGAAACATTTGAGTGTAAAATAAATCAAAGTGCCTGGCAAAACATGTGTGGACTAGTCGACAATTCCACTTGCCCCGCGTAGCTGTAAAACTCTCTAAATTTTGAACTGCAAAGTGCCAACTGCAACATGCAGGATGCTCCGGAGCCCGAGTCGAGCAGCAGCAACATTATCAATAAGCTGAAAAATGCTAAGCAAGTGGATAGCTCGGACGGAGAGATCGACGCGTGCACCATTTGCGGCAGCAGCAAATCGTCGTCCTCCGCTCTGCTCGATCTGCGGGATAACGGTGTAATGCGGCGGCGTCTCAGCCGCGACTGGAAGCTGTCGGTAAGTGGGCCCAGTTAACAGCTGAAGTAAATGACAAATTCAATAATTTTGCAATATTCCAGGCGGATATAATCAAGACTACACTGCGCGCTATATGCGTGGAGTGCGTCTGCAAGCTGAACATGCACTCGGAGGTAACGCGGACGTTGATGCAGCGCCTGCAGCGCATAGCGGGCTCAAGCATGCAGGCGGAGCGGCGGGAGTGCAGCCTACCGATAGCGGATGCCGAGGTGTCCACAACTGGAGTGCCACTGCCACAGGAGGAGGATATTGGCACAGTGAGAACGGCTTCGTCTACATCCACCTCCAGCTCGTCCTGTTTGGTGCTGCAGGCCTACTCGGCCCAGCCACCCGAATCGCCCACGGCCACCGAATCGGGTGGTCTGCGCAACAACAACAGCGGCAACGCCCTGGACGGCTGGAAGTGGCGCACTCGACTGGTTTGCCAGCACTGTGAGCGCGCCTACTTTCGCAAGGATCACTACACGGTGCACGTGCGTCGCTGTTGGCGTCAGCAGACACAGCGTCGACCCAAGTGCAGAGTGCTCAACGAGGCGGGCAAGGATGATGACGCTGAGGACGATGTGGACGTGGCAGATGCTGACAATGGGGAACAATTGCGACAGCAGACGCCCCGCCATTCGCGCACCTTTCAATGCAAGAACTGCGACAAGGAATTTGCCGGCATCGTGGCACTGCGGCAGCACCAGCGCCTCACGCATCAGTGCAGGCACCGCTGCAGCCTGTGCGAGGCGGAGTTTGGCACAAAATACGAATGGGAGCTGCATCATACGATATGCAGTGCAAAGCAGGAGGCAAGTAGTAGTCATCGCCATGGACTTTGCATAGAGATTCATAATACTTCCCTTACCCCCACAGGCTTTGCTCATGCAAGAATCTGCTACCAAAGCGCGCTCGACCCGTTCACGCTCGCGTGCCTGCTCCGTAGCCTGGTATGACGACTATGATGACGATGAGGATGAAGAGGAGGCTGAGGAGGATCAGCAGGAGAATGACGATGATGCCACCTCGGTGGCGGACACGATGTACACAAGGCGCATGAATTTCACTGGCGATTGGATAGTCAATCACAGTCGCAGCAATAGCAATAGCGCTTTAAATCTCTCCATGCTCTATGATGACTATGTGCTGGAGGAGTCTCAGATAACCACGGATAAGGAGTATGATCTCTATTTGCTGGATCTGCTCAAGACCCAGGTGCAGCTGAAGGCGTTCTCGTGCTTTGTGCCCAACTGTTGCTATCAAACGGATACGCTGGTGGATCTCATGAAGCACGACTACATGCAACACTGGAAGATGAGCTGGTTCTATTGCCACAAATGTGGTGACGTCTTTACCAGCAAGTGAGCGAAAGCATATACATACATATATACTCCATATATATGATATTGATTATATTCATTATTTGTTATCTTTTAGGGTCTTCCTTGACTACCATTTGCATCGCCAGAATCGTGGCGTCTACATCTGCCACAAGTGTCACGATGAGTTCGAGTTTCAGCATCAATTGGATCGCCATCAGGTGCTGCACAGCAAGGGCATCAATTACTATTGCAACTACTGCCGCCTGGAGTTTTTGAGCGAGGCCAAGCTGTTGGCCCACTGCGAGCATGAACGTCATAGTCCCAACGATGAGCCACCTCTCATACATATCGAGCACGAGCTGTCCATCAATAATCCGGTGGCCAAGGAGCCTGTCCAGCTGCCGCGCTATACGGTGCGTGTGCTGAACATACCGCACATGCCTTGGATATCCAACCGGCCCATGCATTTGCCGCATCACAAACCCTTCCGCTTCGCCATCGGCATCTGCGAGTTCGATAATCGCAATCCACCCAACTGCGTGGGCTGTCTGTAGACCATGTCTATATGGCTTTGATTGAGCCTAAATCTTTGTATATATGTGTGGAGCAGCTTCGCCTGGTTGTCGAACTGGTTTACAGTTTCCTTCATGTGCATTAGTTCTCATTTGATTTGTATACCCTGTATCTATGTATATGTGGTCGACCATGCTCGACTCAGTCTATGTCAAATGTACAGCTCTTAGCTCTTTCACTAGTTTCATTTGAATGGCTGCAATGGCACAAGTCTGATCGTGTCTCCTCAATAGATTTAGTACACAATTACACCTATATAAATAAATATATATACATATATATAGTTCAATAGATATTTCTATTTTTATATGCCAATTGTAAATGTTGTAATAAATATACGAGTTGACCATTGTTAAAAACGATCTCATATGAATTATATATGTATGTATAAAAGAAAACGCAATAATTATTTATTTATCATTTATGTATATATATATATTTGTTTATATATATTTTCAGTCATTTTTATTTTGTTTGCTCTTTATATGCCGAAAATGTGTTTTTTGTTTTTACAATTTAGATTTGATTTTTTGTTGTTTTGTTTTTTATTACAATTATTTAAGAACTTTTATTCATAATTAACACTAAATTTTTTAATAACGTCAAAATACTTTGAAAATGTTTCTTTAATTATTTTTTTATGTACACAGGGATTGTTGTTATTGTTGTGGTTGTTGTTGTTAAACTTAAGAGTCGCTCGCTTAGCCTAGGAATTGTATAACAAATGAATTAACACTAAATAGAACTATATGCATATACGGGTATACGTCTACGGTATTCCCCCACTTACATGCATATTTATTTATGTTTATACTTACATAGAGCCTATTGCATTGCCCCCAGCGCATGTTTGTTTGATTTTTGCATCATTTTGTTTTTGTTTTTCATTTTTTTCATTAACAACTAAAAATTATTATGAATTACAATTGAATTAGGGTTAATTAATTTAAATTTTTGTACGTTTTTAATTTGTATAAACGGTTGTATGTTCGTATGTATGCATGTATGTGTGTGTGTGTGTGGGTGTGAGTCGGTGTCAGTCTTATAAAATTCAACCCAGGAAACTTCTTTTGGAACTCAAATAAAAAAAAAAAAATCTAAACAAAATCTAAAAAATTATTAGACTAATTTTTTACGTTGTTGTTGAGCTATTTTCGAGGTAGTTCGGTTATAAGTTTCAAAATCTATCCATTTTTAGCATACATAACTATATATATATATAATATATAAGCTAAATAATTTTTAAAACAAATCACTGGCATTTTAAGATAGTTGTACAAAGTATTGCTAACTCGTTTCTTGTTTTTTGTTTTTTGTTTTAATTTATGTTTTTGTTAAAACTCATCTGGATTCATTCTCAAATGCGTTCGTTTCGTTTCTTTTTTCCCTATTTATATATACTTTGAGCCTCTTCTGCTCTGCCACGCCCACTAACTTTCAGTCTTATGCAAGTGTACAGTTTCTTTTTGTTGACATAAGCAATGTGTGTGTGTGTGTGTCTGTGTGGGTGCTTCCTAAGTCTAGCCTAAGCCTAATCTATATCTCTATATCTCCCTATAGGTATGCTATATATTTATTTGCATAATTCTATTTCTTTTAGGCACAAAGTGATGCAGACAACAATTTAATATTTTTTTTTTTTCTAATTCGTGTTTTTCATTTTCCCATTTTTTTGTTCCTTTTCTTTTGCTCTCATTCTAAAGGTGCAATAATTGGGTGGGTGGGTGAATTCTTTTTTTTTTTTTTGCTGGGAAATGTTTTCTTTTTTTTTTAATGATGTTTAAAGCTTCACTACCGCTAGATCGACGCCGAGGCGGCGAGTCGATGAAGATTGAGAACACAACAAAAATAAGTTTGAAGTTTAGCACGTTGAACGTCGAAACCCGAAAGAAGAAGAGTCTAAGTGTGCGTGTGTGTGTGTGTGTGTGTGTGTGTGTGTGTGTAGGTGTGTGGCCTAGTATATGGAATCGTGGCTATCGGCTGCATACTGCCAGGCCATCGTTAGCATCAATCAGTCGGTGCGCGCCTGCGCCTCGTCGCTGCCCAGCAGCTCACGCTTGAGGCCCAGGCCCAGGCCCAGGGGCAGGTTGCTCATCGATGGGGATGTTGGTGAGGCTGCTTCTCTGGACTCCTCCAGGTGCTGCTCACGCTCACGCTCGCGCTCCTCCTCCATCTCTGCCGCCTCCTTGCCGTTTGTCGAGAGCGACGCCGAATTGGAGTGCATGATGACGCTGGCGCCCTCCATGGGCGAGGCGGCGCGCGCCTGTCCCGGGGAGTAGGGCGATTCGGGTCGCTCTTTGCGTGCCAGCGAGAGATCCTCCACCTGGTCGTGATCGTCCTCGTCGTCAGCGTCGCGCTCCTCCTCAATGGCCTCGCGCTTGATCAGGCGCTGCTCCTCGTGCTTCTCCTCCTCGGCGTAGTGGCTGGGCGAGCGCGCCGCATGCCCGTTGGAGCCGGGCGGACTGCTGGACATGCGATTGGCGGCCGCATGGGCGGCGGCGGCCAGTGCCATGGCGTGCAGTGCCTCTCGGCCGGCTATGTCGCCGCCACGGTTCTCCAGCGCCTGCTGCAGGAAGGCGTGGTCGAGCAGCGCAGCCGCCGAGTGGGGAATTGTGGGCGGCATGCCGTGATGCGAGTGCCCGCCGGACTGGCCATGCCCGTGGCCATGGCCGTG